GTATGAGGCTTTCACAAGACTAAGGAGATTATAACCCAGAGAATAAAGAATCATTAATTTATTCCAAATCCCTAAATTAACTATGTGAAGACAAAAATCTTAGGCCCACGGTGAGATGAACCTGTAGTCAAACTCCATCAATCACCTGACTTCCGTAAACACCTCCATCGACTCAAATGGGACACTTTCCATTTGGGGTCTCCTGGTAATCCCAGATAAGACTGATTATTTACTTTCCACTAATGCACAGTCACTCTGGTGACTTTCCCTCTAGGGAAGATTGAGGAAAAGATTAACAGTATAAATTTGTGGCAGTGTACCTCGGTCCTTCTTCAAGGAGACCTGACCTCCCCTGCGTTCAGGGAAGGGATTCTGTGTCTGTAAACTAGCTCAGACCTTGAAAATTAAAGGACCATGACTGTCAGTTTTTATGATTCAAATTAGACTTTTTCTCTTGACTTGGAACTATCCTGCTCATACAGATCAACAAGAATTTAGGAGTCTTCCCATCTGTTTCATTACTAGGAACATCAAGATCAACTGTGCAAAGCCAGACTAGCTTTGAATCTGCTGCCCGCTATGGTTACTAAGCTCACCTTAGCCTGCTTCAATTGGCAAAGACTCAAAAAATTTTTTTTCAAACCTTCCAGCTTCAACAAGATCTTCCCATCAATCTGCATTTTAATTTTCAGGACCCCATTCCTTCCAGTCATTGTCTTCATTTAATAGTAGACACCTTATGAGATTGGGAGTTCAGTTGTGTTGTAATTCAGCTACTTGAAGAATGAGATTTTGAGTGTGGCTTTTGACAATCTTACCCCTACAGTTAGAAAAGAGATCATTCAAGGCAGACATAATAGCTTTTAGATCATTTATACAACACTGGAGCTGGGAATTTGAATCCCTCGCTCAGCCTTTTCTTTTCTCATTGTGTTAAGTGATATTAGAAGCAACCAGCTAACCTTATTATGCTTGTAAGTTTAACAAAAATGTTCAAATGTATGGTATCCATTGTTATCCAGAACTGTACCTCTTGTAAGTGTTGTATTTCAAGTATTCAGTGATGATATTTTGTCTGTCTCCATTGCCATATCACACCGTGGTTCTCTTTACTCCCAGAATTAGAGCCATTAGTGTCTTTAAATCTAGGGAAGTGATTCTAGAAATTCCCAAACCAATTCAGAAAATGTATCTTTAATACTGTTATGACCACATCAAAGGGGAAAAACTCTATACTGTGAAAAATTAAATAGGGATATTTAAAATAAAATAAATTAAAATTAAAAAAAGGATTCTCTGCCTCTAGATCCTCTCTTAGTAATAAAATCTAAAAATTGAAATAAAAAATTGAAACAGAACCAGAAGGGTATGGATATGTATTTACATTTTATATATGGAGATATACAGAATATGCAGAATATTACATATGGTGCTATTTGTTACACAGGGATATCTATTTCCATATATTATTTATGGAGACACTGTTATTTGAAGGAGTTGGATGGTATGATTGTACTTGACAAAGTCTCAAATCTTCCAGAATAGACTGACAGGCTGAAGGCTGAAGAGTAGGGTAGAGTTGCAGTTTGAGCCCAAAGGTAACTCGGAAGCAGAAATCCTTGTTGCCCACTGAAAGTTAGTCTCTATTCTGATAAAATCTTTAAATGTTCGAGGGAAGCCAACCTACATCAAGGAGATAATCTGCTTTACTCAAAGTGCCCTGATTTAAATGCTAATCTCACTGAACTGTGGTGATGGCACACAGGTGAATTGGTGGCGGGAAGCCTGTGGGGATTACAACTGAGATGAAAAATGCATAAAATAAAGGATGGTGTAAGAAAAGAAAAAGAAAAGACTAGAAAAATAAATAAATAAATGTTCATCTATTTATTAACATTTCACAGAATGTGAAACACCTTCACAGAAACATCCAGAATATTTGATCCAGTATCTGGACACCATGGCCCAGCCAAGTTGATACACAAAATTGCCTATTTTGCTGTCTTAATCCTCAACAAAAATGAGGATAGTAGATTTTACACTAAATCTTATGGTTTTCATGTTGAAAACTTCTTTATTTTTAGTTTCAGTTCTCACCCCTGCAATATTTTGTTTTTGACAGCAAACCCATGATCTTTCCTTTGCTCCCTTAAAATGTCAAGGGTTTTGCTATATAGTTTGTAGCAAGTCACATTCCCTGAAGTTTTCTAGTCTACTAGAACCACTTGGAAAGCATATATTTGATGTTTCCTCTTCAGTTCTCTAGATCTTAAGACCCTAAGAGACTTCCTGACTAAGTATAAAACCTGCACAGTTTTTTCCCTAGAAACAAGACAAGCATCAGGGAGTGGGATTGCTGTATAGCCATCACACAGTCCAGAAAGCTTTGTGGAGGAGCCTAAAATAACACAAAAATTCCCCAGCGGTACTCTAAACGAAGGCTGTAGAATCATTAACATAAACCTCCTTTCTCTTACTGTGGCTTTGACTTTAATGGAGTGTTATCCTCACTTCTAGTCTGTTTTGTGTTCAGCCATGATCTCTTTTTGGCCTTCTAGTCCTTCACCATCCCAACATTCTGCCTGGAATTTTCCACCCTTTAGCATCTTCTCCCTTGAGATACTTATGTAATTGTTTACTTTGGTGATTTATTCCATTAGTTTTTCTCTGAACAAGATGATTTTCCCCATCTTCTTTTCTTCTAGGGCTCCTGAATTCATAATTTGGATTCCTGTTGCCTTTAAAAATAATTATTCAATCATTTTTAATAGAATTTTTCATTTTTCCAATGAAAATGTAGCTTCCTTCATAGCTGTTTGTGTGGATGAGAATTCATACTACATAAAAATGTTGTTTGTCCTCAGAAAACTCATATTTCTCTTCAGCTGAAACTTACTAACCTGAAAATGAACAAGTTAGACTTTATGGTCATTAAGTTGCCTTCTAGCTCTGAAGCTAATTAATTGTTGGTGAAATGATCTTGAGACTTAGCAGTCATTGCAGAAGCAGTCAAATAACATGAAACTTGGCAAACACCATCTTCAGTCACACTTGCTCAATTAGGTGTGTGTATTCATAATGGGATAATCATCCAATAGCCTTAATCTCAAGGGTTTTTTTCTTTATCATCCTTAATTGTATTCTCCCTTTACTTTGAGATTTTCTTTCACTTACACTCTGGGCTGAATTTTTGTGGTTTTCATAGAATTCACAGGAACCAGGGATAGAACATTCTTTCTGCAGGATTCCTAAACTAAGTGATATGGTCTACCCCAAAAGCATTATGATCCCCCTACTCCAGTAATCCTTAGACCAGGCCTCTGGAGGAGGAATCCATATCAGACTAGATGACATCATTGGAGTGCAGAAAGAAGTCTTCATTCCTCTATTACAGATTTTAATGTCCTTTAAGATAATCTTATATGTTTCACAATGGCTATATTAATTCCCAAGTAAATATAGAAAACACATTCTACCTAGATACCATCAACTTGCTCAAAAGTTTTTGAGCAAGTCTTATTTGGGATGTGTGACTAAAGAATTTGGGGACCAGACATCATTTGCCTTAGAAAATTCTTAATCTCGTAATAGTATAAATAGATAAATGCCCTATAACCTTGTATTAATAAAAAGCCCAGTGACTCTGAGGCTTTGTAAACTCACTACTATTATCCTCATTAATCTGCTCCTTTATGTATAAGATCATTAGGCTCTTACATTAGTCTGTGTTTCTTGGTTATAAGCAACAGAAGCTAAGTCTGATAAACATGGACAAAGAACTGAAGGTGACACTGACAGCTGCCAAGTCTGGGAGAAGCTGGTGAGCCGCCTCCTAGGAGCAGGACTGAGACAGCAGCCCTGGGAGTCAGAGCTGGGTGCGTCAGGGCTGATCTGCAGAGTCCCGCAGGTTGACTCAGCTCTAATTATCTCGTTCCCTGAATATCTGCCTCAGGACTCACATTTCTGAGGAAAAAGAGCCTGAATCACCTGCCTTGTATCACAGGCCACTGTAGACCTTTCCTCGGCATCCTTCCATATATATTTCCTGGGAGCGTTGAAGGAAGCCCTTTTGCAGTCATGTCTATAAAATCAGGTGCCAGGAAATGGCCACTTGCCAATTTCTGGCCACACAATATTTTTTTTATTATTATTTCCAGCAAAAGGGAAAAAGGGTAAACTGTGTTTTTTCTGACATTTACTTGCCACCAGCAAAACTTGATTTTTCACATGGCTGGGGGTTTCTCTTTCCTTTTACCATTCCAGGTAAGTGACATTTGACTTCTTAAACTCTTTTTATAAAATTTAAACAAAAATGTCCATCAAGAGTCAACTATAATTTAAAATGTTTTCAAAATTAAGAGTTTTTGAATTAAATTTAAATTTAAAATAGTGCCTTTGTTCTCCTTGGCTTATACAATAAACAGCCTGCTGGAAAACAAACAAAACAAAAAACATGATAGCTAAAGTTACTTTCCAAAGCAGGAAAATCAGAGTGCAAAAGCCATGATTTGATTGTAACCCATGACATGATTGCAGTATTTAGTTATACTTCATTTGTATATGTATACTTCTGTCCATAATCCCGCTAAAGAAAAAGAACTGATTTTATGGATATTTTGATTTAAGTAGATGTAAATTGAAACTTAGAATCAGGTGGCAAACAGAGAAGAGAGAAAGCATGCCAGTCAGACAATAATTATGTGCCAAAGTATAGAATACAAATAGCTCAAAATATAGAAGATAAAAGAAAAAAAGTTAATATGATCAAGAAATTAAATGGGGCATAAGGGTGAATACATACATTTGGTTATAAGAAGCAGAAAACAGGGAGATAGGAGATGGTTCTATACTTTGTATCTAGGGTACTTTATTGTGGACTTCAAATTCAATGCAGCTTCAAGGGAAGAGAATTTTTAATATCCGTATGTAAACATATGTATTGCAATTGGGGTCTCCACATGAGTGATTAATGCAAGAAGTGTCATCTCTCTTCCTCCCAGGTGTGTCCGCACAGCTCACCAGCACCTGGCACTGTCGGAACACTTCTGTGGGAACACCATTTTGGATGGCTCCTGAGGTCAGATAGAATTTTGAGGATGACAAGCGTAACACTTGATGCTTTGTGACTTTCTTTTTCATGTGAAATATATCTCCATGTGCACTTTGGTATATACAAGAAGAAAATGCCAGCTGTGTTGTTTTCATGTGAGGGTTTTTTCCATGGGTAAGGAAGGACATGATCTCAATAGGTGAAGGACTGAATGAATAAGTCAGATGCAGTAAAAGGAAACGACTTGAAGCCTTGATTTTTTATTACATTTAGTTGTATAGCATGTGTTTGTACTAGTGAACTTTAGGTTCTGTTTTTAAATTTTAACAGGAATGTTATGAAAACCCCTTACGTTTGTTTGAAATCAGATTCAGATCCATTAATTGTACAGCAGCTTCCTGCACTGGGCCACTTTCCTGAGGGCTATGCTCAGTGTTAATAAATTCTTTTCGTTGTTTCCTTTGGGAAGTTGTAGATAAACTGACAAAATAAAGGTTTTCTAGAGTCACATCTCCTCCCCACAGTTGCTGTTAATGCCTTTAATCTTTTTAATTATGTTTATCAGTAAAGAGCACTTATGTCTTAAAACTCTGCTACCTTTGGGAAATGCTCTGCTATTTACCTACAGTTTTCTAGGGAGTGGAAGGAGAAGTAACTCAAATATTATATTAATATTGCAAAATCTTATAATTAAATTTGTTTGAGAATTAATTCCTGGTGTACTGTTTCTATGTTAGTACTAATTTAATTATTAGTACTAACATCGGTGAAAATGTAAATGTACTGTAAAATATGGAGAAAGGATAAAGTATCTTAATAAAAGCATAAAATCCAGTGAATTAAAAAATTTTAACAAGGAATAAATTTTAGAATAAAAATAGAAAGTTTAGTCATATAAGCAATCACAAAATTGATTATGAGAATGAGTTTCATCATTGTTTATTCAGATATATCACTAGTGTTTCCAAAGTTTGTGAAAATTTTGCAAAAATGAGAAGGTAAAAATACAGTGATAATAGTAAAAGTTCCTTTAACTTACATATATTAATATTGTAATTGTAGTCTATTGTTTTATATTAAATGTTAAGTAATGGTCTGCTTTATATTTTTCATATATTGATTTATAGTAACAAAACCATTTTTTATGCTTAGTTGTGCCGTTTACTAAAAACATTGATTAATGGAACTTGGAACTACTAAATATTTCTAAAAAGAAATATTTTGATTGATCTAAAATTTAGTTACCAGATGATTAAAAGAGTTAATAATTAAAAGTGATATTCCTTAACAATTACTGTAATTTAACAAGTAATTTAAATAAGTCATTATTTGTTATTAATAAACCCACTGTAGCATAAATAGGGCTAGAAAGAGCTTTCCTGCTTAGAAAACTTATGAAATTATAAAATAAAAAGTTTCACTTCTGTGTTTTTAAGCTGTCATGTACATATATGTTGAAATTTTGTGTTATATTCATCTCCCTGTAATAAGCTATTTTTCAACTTGTAAATGATTGGCAACATTGCAATAGATTTCTATTATCTAGAATTGTTGAAGAATATTCTGGAATAACCAGCTATCTAGTTAATGAAGATATCACATATAAACTAGCTGTATATTATGAATGACATATTTCTAAAAATTAGTAATGCTTGTTTGTTTTTTGTATGGTCCATTCTCGCTGAAGTGAAGTGATATCTCATTATATGGTTTTTAATTACATTTCCCTGGTGATATGTGTTGTTGAACATATTTTCATCTGCTTTTTGGACATCTATATGACTTCACTTTGGAGAAGTTTCTTCTTAGCTTTTCTACTGATTTATTGATTGGTTTTTTTGTTGTTTTCTTTCTATTGAGTTAGTGCCATATAATATAGTTTAAAGTCTGGTAGAATAGTATTTCCATTTCCTTTCTTTATTGTCAAGATTGTTTTTGGCAACTTGGATCTTAAATGGTTCCATATAAATTCTAATAATGTTTGCTTAATTTCTCTGAAGAATTCCTTTGAAACTTTAATGGGGATTGTGTTGAATCTATATATTGCTTTGGGTACAATAGACATTTTAGTGTGCTAAGCCTATGTGAGATAGTCATAAAGATGAAATATTATTCCAAACAGGATCTTAGATTTTTTCACTTTACATATCTTTTCACAGTATTTAAGTTAAATGATGATACTACTCTAACCTACCATCACCCAAAGTATTTGTAATTTGTACTGCAGATTGACAAACATGTAAATTTTTCAATTGTTTTTTATAATGTAAAATTAAATATGTTGTGATCATTGATCTTACAGACCATCTGTATTCATATTTACACATTTTAAAATAAATTGTTAAATAGCATTTAATAATTCTTCTATGTAATCCTATTTTACTATATTGCAAAAACAATTCTCCCTTTTTTTCTTGTCTCTCAATTACATTTTTTTTTAAAGATTTTATTTATTTATTCACATAGAACTGGGGTACAGGCCAGAGATGCGGAGGGTGAAAGTCTTCACCAGAGACAGAGCGGGGAGCAGAACAGGAAGATAAACGAAGTACACTTATGAGAGGAGCAGCAGGCAGGTCAGGAGAGGTCTGCCTCGCCATGTGGATCTCCTCTGGGGCAGGAGGGAATCGAACTCATGCAGAAGTGACTTTAGCTTCTTAGTGCAGCGCTTTAACCCGCTGAGCCACCAGGGAGGGCCGTCAATTACATCTTGATTACTGACATTCTTGTAAACATGACTTTAGTGTTTACATTTAGTGTGCCCCAGATACGCTATTGATTAATCCTATCAATATTTATTTTTATTCATTTTATTTTCCTTTTATTAATGTCTCAAACTTTTATATTCCTCCAAATTATCTCTAGTCCCTTGAATGTCTTTGTCTTCTAGTTGCTAAAAAATATCAAGGCATTTAACTACACAGCTGTCAAGCTTATTTTTTTTTCATTCACTTTTAGTTCACTGATGATACATTCTGTAACCGTAAAACTGAGGCTACTAGAAGGAGATAAGGGAAGTGGGGAGCAAAGCAGGAGGGAGCCCAATGGACTAAACTAGAGGACTGTGGATGCCTTAAAGGGTATTGTTAATCAGTGCTTCCTCAATTTAAAAAAAAGAAGAGAAACTATTAAAGTAAATGATAAAGTATTCTTTATCTTTTTAATATGAATATCCTCATTCATTCATAAAAAGTCTATCAAATGAATACCATTGCTTAGTCTTCACCCTTTTTGAGGCATTATCTTTTCATCCTCTGTGATCTATGTTCTATAGATGAAACTATTCCTTTGATCTGTGTCTTTTCTTATAGTGGCAACCCTGTCAAAGTATCTTCTCAAAATAAAATCATTATTGGCCCTCCCTGGTGGCGCAGCAGATTAAAGCACAGCACTGAGAAGCTAAAGCCACTTCTGCATGAGTTCGATTCCTGCCTGCCCAGGAGGTGACCACATGGCGCGGCAGACCTCTCCTGACCCGCCCACTGCTCCCCTCAGCAGTGTACTTCGTCGATCTGCCTGTTCTGCTCCCCACTCTGTCTCTGGTGAAGCCTCTCACCGCCCCTGAGCCTCTGGCCTGTACCCCAGTTCTGTATGAATAAATAAATCTTTTTAAAAAAATAAATAAATAAAATCATTATTTCTACTACTAATAGAATTTTTACTCTCCCAAGTTCCTGCTTTTATTTTCATTCATACTTATCAAACTTCATTTTTCTTCATTCTTATTAAAGTTGTCAACTGCACTTTCTTTTTTTCTCATTTTCAACTAGGTGATTGCTTGTGAACAGCAACTGGATACCGCGTATGATGCCCGATGCGACACATGGTCCCTTGGGATCACGGCCATCGAACTCGGGGATGGAGACCCTCCTCTAGCTGACCTGCACCCCATGAGAGCACTCTTCAAAATCCCCAGGTCAGAGGACTAGCATGGGTGTCGCCTTCCTCTTCCCAGCAACTGAGCGCTCATTAGTTCTCCTCCTGGAAATACTCAGATATATTTCAACAAGTTAGGAGCAGAGTGATCTGGAACATCACTCTGTTTCACCTGAGACACTTGACTCAGTAGTTTCACTCCCTGGCCTATTAGGTAAAATAAGTTTCTCTTGATAATCAGTGTTTCTTTCTTTGGCCAGGATGTGATTGCAGGAAATAGCAGCTCTCCCCTCTACCTATCCCTCCGCCTTAGTGGGGCCTGCCCTTCCCTAGTCCACAAGGATTTGCATTTTACTCCATTGACCTCATCATTTTTTTACCATTTGCTAAGATTTCTCTTTTCTTAGACCTTCTATGGAGGAAATTATGCATAAAATCTACTGATTAAAATAATAAGGATTTTAAAAGAATACATTATATTGACAAACTACCTTGCTCATCCTGTTACCAAGTAAATACATGATATGCTTTGATGTGAAAAGCTACCTACTTTTATATAAGCTGTTGATAAATCCTTATCAGTATCTATTTTTGTTCATTTCTATCTTCCTTTTATCAATGACTTAAACTTTTGTATTCTTCCAATGTGCCTCTGTCTTCCCTTGGATGCCTTTGTCTTCTAGTTGCCAGAATGTGTTATTTTTTGATGATTTTCTGGTTCTGTCTGGTTCCTATTTCCAATGGCATGCACACTTGGCTGTATTGAGGGGTCTGCACTGAGTGGTAATGTGGACTGTTGCAGTTTGTTAGCATGATCTCCACTAAACAAATATTCTGTTCCTCATGCCTGTTGACATAGAATCATATCTACAAGGCCCTGGGGAGAGTTTCTCAGTCCTAGGGAAGTAATGCCAACATTTGTATTCATTTCCAGATGGATCCATTTGGAATATTTGGCTCATATTAAATTAATAAAGACCAAAAGCATTTAAATTTGTTTTGAATTTTATCTTTGAATTTCCTGTCCTACCTGTATGCTCTAAATTTTAGTGCCTTAGATTAGATATATATCATATTTTACATTATAACTTCAGTGTATTTAAGGTTTTACTGTTTTGACAAGTAGGAAAACAAGATTACAAAAATGAAAATCTGTTCTGTACTAAGTCTAAGCTATTTCATTACATTTGAAGAAAACAATCTATATTTCTCAATCTCCTCCTATTATTTGGTATAACATAAAGTACCTACCTCCTGAACCATTTTCTGGTTTAAGTTACTATGGTAAGTCAAGTGCTGTTAGTCTTGGTGACAAAGTCCTGTGGAAGAGAGATGACACTATTGTCACATTTTCTACCTGTGAGTAAGGTACTTCTGGAAACTGCATCCTCTTAGGTATTTCTTATTACTTCTGCCATCAGAATCAGTGGCTCTTAACTGGAATTCTGAGTCTACTAACTCTAGAAATAATGAGAAAAAAGTGATCGGAAAATTTAACCACTTCTGAGTATTCTAACATCATCAGAACTTTGTTATACTCAAAGCAAGTCAACACATCTCTTAGAAGGAAGTTTCTAGGAGGACAAATAACAAAGCAAGATTGTTGGAGAAAAGCACTACTTCTTTGAATGTGCAAATCAGCAATCTTCAAATAGTCCTAAGGATTATAAAATGTGCTTTAGGCATGAACTAGAACTAAGGGAGATGAGTAGCTGAACTCTTATTTAATGAGCCTGTACAAACTGTACATTAATTTTCTTATAAGCTATTTAAGGAGTAATGCAGAACTGGAGACAAAGTATTTCCATTCTGCTAATGAAAACAAAGAGCTGTTAGAATTAACATTAAGCAGTACTTCAGCAGATCCTGCTATCATGGTTGATCAATGTTGCTTGATTAGAGTTAGATCAGTCTCATTTTCAAGTGATGATCTTCTATATTCATGAATATGTCAAAAATAAAAGGATTTAGTCAGCTTTAAATGAGTGGAATTAATAGCAAATTTTTAAGTGGCATTTGAGCTTATAGGTAATATTTTCCAGTTCCTTATTTTTGTAACCCTGTTTCCAGTTGTGTGTTCAGTAACAACAAACCCAGAAAGGCATTCTCCTCTGCCCCTCTACTGCAGTTACCTCCATTTTCTGAACAACTCTCCTTTCAGGTCACCTCTGTGTACCCTGACTATTCCCCAGAGACTTCTGCAGGACTCAAAGTAAGAAATCTTTTCCCCACTATTCATTGCTTCTATTCTGCTAAGTAGTGATGTTTCCCCCTAGGGTTCTCAGGTAAAAAGCAAGAGGATTTTTTAAAGGAAAAGAATTATCAGTTTGAAAAATCAGGTCACATATTGAATGCTTTCAGAGAAACAAGTAACTTGTTATTTTACATAAAGAATGATGAATAATTATCTGTTTTTGAATTGGAAAATGATGATAATGATTGATTGTACCTGGCAGAACCTTGGACTGCAGTAATGCATTAGTTTGCTTCTGATTTGATATTGATTGTCCAACACGCGCAATCCAACCTTGATTCTTATTTTTCTAGGAATCCACCCCCAAAACTAAGGCAGCCTGAGATGTGGTCAGCTGAGTTCAATGACTTCATCAGCAGGTGAGTAACATGTCTTAAAGAAACAGAAAGAAAGATATAGCATCCAGCTATAACTTAGAAATGTGCCTTTACAACAGTTACTCTGTTTCTGAATCTCCTCATTTCTTACCTATTATAGCCCCAGAGGTTTTCATTCAAACATCGATGGTGTCCTCTGAAGGTTCAGCGAGTTCATTATTGTTCCAATATTGATCTAAGGATCATATCAGTTCACTCATGAGTATCTAGTCAAAGGATGTTTCCATGGCCAGAAATAGCTTCTCTCCACCTGCCTTTTGCAGCAATGCCCTCCACAACCCCCACCAGTTAACTGACCATCTCTTTGCTCAGTACTTGACCCTCATTTATTTCATCCCAGTTCTCCAAGAATTTTCATTGCAATTGGAAAAATCAGATAACTGTAGCAATAAAGCCCTTAAAGATTTGAAATTTATTGGACTTTTTTTTTTTTAAAGATTGATTTATTTATCCACTTGGAACTGGGGTACAGGCCAGAGATGTGGATGGTGAGAGGATCCACCAGAGACAGAGAGGGGAGCAGAACAGGCAGATCAATGAAGCACACTACTGAGGGGAGCAGTGGGCCGGCCAGGAGAGGTCTGCCACGCCATGTGGTCACCTCCGGGGCAGGCGGGAATCGAACTCATGCGGAAGTGGCTTTAGCTTCCCAGTGCTGTGCTTTAACCCGCTGCGCCACCAGGGAGGGCCTAGTGGACATTTTTAATTTTACAAATATTTAGCATAAGTACAGCATCTCCAGTCAATTAACTATCTGTCCACAGAAATTTTTTTTTCAAAATCCTTCTTATGTTTTCACTTTAAAATAAGGAAAGTGATGACCCCAGGTTTAAATGAGAAAAGCAGAGCATTAATAGTTGATATTTCAGGTTAAAGTGGTGCAACAGGTTAAAGTGCAGCACTATGGAACTACCATAGCCACTGAAGCACGAGTTCGATTCCTGGCCAGGGAGGTGACCCACATGGTGTAGCAGACCTCTCCTGACCCACCCGCTGCTCCTCTCAGCAGTGCATTTCAGTACATCTGCCTGTTCTGCTCCCCACTCTGTCTCTGGTGAATCCTCTCACCCCCGCACCTCTGGACTGTAACCCAGTTCTGTCTGCATAAGTAAGCAAATCTTTAAAAGAAAATAAGAATTGACATTTCAGACTCCACTTAGAAAATGCAAGAAAAGACATAGAATGTAGAAGACTCATACTTTCTGATACATACTCTATCATTGATTTTTTTGATAAAGAATCCTGCTTTTTTTCTATAAAGACAAGCCACTTAGACTATGGGTTAAAAAAAACCCAAGAAAGATTAAGAATCTGGTTTTAGTTTTTGTTCTCACTTAACCAGATAGTGCATTATATTACTGAGTATGTATTATGCATGACCGAAAGCTTAATAAACTGCCATCAGATTTCATAAGTCTCTTTAGGTGAATCACCAGTAACTCTGAAGAGCTTCCCATCATTCACAACTCTGCCTGTGTCTGCACATCCTCCATATAGACTTTCAGTAGAATTTAGTGACCTTCACCCATTTCTCACAATTTCCCCTCTGAGAAACATTTCCAGAGCTAATTAGCATCTGTCCTGGGTGCTGACATTTTATTCTGTTACTCTCCCTCTAGTGACATTGCCACATTTTTAAGCTACCCATTTAGATGTCTTTCTCCTTAACTAGGCAATAAGCAACTCCAGGCACAGAATGTGCTATCACTTGTCATATACTTTTCACCTCTTGTTTCTTACTATAACCGTAGTGTCTAGCAAATATTAGTACATAATAGCTCTTGGATAAAGTGAAACTATACTATCCTCAGTGCATTGACACAAATGTGGCATGTCAGGAATTGACAAGTCTGTTAAACTCCGTAGAAACTAAGAGCCAGTATTATTTTCAGATATTGCCAGCCTTATTTATTCCCTACTTTATCTTAGCATCTTTGGGGAATATCTTTTTGGTTAACAGCAACAAAATAAATTGCAAAATTATAGTCTCAGGAGGATTAACAATACAGATTAGAAATGATATTGCTTATGTGAATGCACACATTTCTTCTGCATTTTATTTCTCTGTATCTGCAGTGACAACCCAATTCTGACCAATTTTCTCATAATCAAGATCCTCTGAGTCTCAGCGTCGGGATAGTGTTGGCAAGTTCAATAGCCCCACTATAAACACACACCAAGAGCAGGAATTCTTTTTAAACAAGTACTGATAAAAAGTAATTGTATTTTCCAATGCAATCAATTCCATCTTCGATAAACTCACTGTCGAAAGTGCTTTTGCATGCCAACTTAAAATCTGTTTCTCTCTTAATTCGACCAGCCAATCCTAGGATCTTTGTCCTTGATGAACACTAAAAACTAGTTTAATCCCTTCTGCAATGGGATTCGATCTTAATTTTGTCCAGATGCCCCACCTGTAACGCTCGCTTAGGTGAGCTCACCTTATCCTTCCTTGTGACTCTTTGTGGTTGAAAACATAGAGCTTGTGATATGCATTAGTGAGTGTACTGTAGGCCTCAAAAACATTTACTGTCAAGGAATTTCAGCATACTCCATGCATTAGCCTTCTCAAATGAGTTAGCAGTTTTGGCACGTAAAAAGAAAGAGACCAATTAAGAAGCCTTTAAAAACATTAGTGAAGGAAAACTGAAAAGTTTGTTTTAATTTTAGATAAGCATTAAAGCTGTAATGACTTCATTGCCGTTTATCTTTAGCTACTGAATTGTAAAAGAGCGCTTGCAATAGAAGCAGCATTTAATCATCATTGTGCTGTAACACTTGAGGGAGAGGAGGGCAGTTGTGTTTACTTGGGAGTTGGCATCACTACATCATAATCACTCACTGACATGTGCACTTGCACAAACATTCATTTTGCCTAATGTAGTTTAACATTTTTTGGAAATATGTTTCTCAGGCTGAACATTGGTAAGGAGCATACTGTCATGTTCAAATCACTTGAAGGTATGTGGCTAATAATTTCCAAACTCTGACTTAGTAAGACTGTTCTATTTTTGCCAGTACAGGTGCTTGACTAAAGATTATGAGAAACGTCCAACTGTGTCGGATCTTTTACAGCATAAATTCATTACTCAAATTGAGGGCAAAGATGTGATGTTGCAAAAACAACTCATGGAATTCATTGACATTCATCAGTATACGGGAGGCACAGAAAAAGCCAGGTAATCAAGTGATACCTTGACCCCAAAAGTCTAAAGTAGTAAGGTGAGAAATAAGAGAGAAAAAATTTCATTTAAATTTTGATTGTGGCTTAAAGATAAGTGGTACTTGCCGGAAAGGTGAATATCACACATTGAAATACGGCCCCTCTGGCAGTATTTTTAGAACACCTTCATCTGAACAAAGAATGTAAACTCCAATAGGTGATTGTTATCAGATACTAACTCCTTATATGTGCTGCTTCTTTGCAAAGTAATAGATCTTCAATTTGAGATTTTAAAAAATAACATAAAACTTGAAAGACTTCTTGATACTATTTCTGTTGTTATGTTCCCTGGTTGAATTATTGTCAAAAATTATTTTAATATCTTTATTTGTACTTCCTATTTGGATTTTTAAGAATAATAACATACAGTTGTTATAACATTTACTATGCTTTTTACTTATTATAGGTAGTCTATATGTTTATTTTAGGAAACTTAGAAGGTATGGAGAAATGTACAATGTCACACCAACCCAGTGTAGCATTTTAATCTATAACCCAATATCTTATGAATGCATATACATTTTAACAAAAACTGGAATAATATGTAGATGTGTTCTGTAGCCTGCCTTTTTTTAACTAAATAATGAATATCTTTGTCATTAGAAATCCAACTATAAAACTTTTATAGCTGCATGTGACATTCTCTCGTATGACTATTCACCAATTCATTTCAATAACCCCTTATTATTAGCCATTTAGCTTACTACTAATTAGTTGTTTTTTCTCTAATAATAATACTGAAAGGAACAGAATCATAAACAAATCTGTCTCTGTGTCTGTCTGTCTGTCTCTCCTTTTTCTTTATTGGGGTAACGTTGGTTCATGGCACTGTACAGGTCTTAGGGGAATAGAGTCACACCTCCTCAAATGAACATCACCACACCACCCCACCATCCAATCACATCACTCGACCCCCTCTACCTTGTTCTCACTTCTAGCAACCTTAATCCTACAGAAATATTTCTAGGGTTTTTAAATAAATCTCTTATCATTTCTTTGAAATAAGTTTCTATAGGCAGTGCTGTTAAATCAGAGTAGTCTTCTGTAATGTGAGCTTATTCCTGAGAATCTCATTTGTTTCATCTCAATAGCATATCACTATTTAAGGACTTGAGAAAAATGAGTCGAACATCAACTGGCTTAAGGGGCAATTACATTTGAATTCTGGTTGCAGTTTACATACTTTATTCCTATTTTTTCAAATACTATGTGCCAGACATAGATTTGGATTTTATATTATCTCATGTGATAATATTTTATGATAATATTTTATGATACACAATTTTCACAGTTGAGTAAAACTGGTTTGCAGAGACTAATTGTAAAAGGTTACACAGGCAATGGATGCCCTAATAGAGATTCAAGTCCTGATTCCCAAACCCAAGTTTCATCCACATGAGTAAATGGCTCAATGATTGTGCACAGATGATCTCAGAGATCATAGTCCATAGCTGCTAGAGTTTACAGACTTAATGGAGAGACAGAACTCAGATTCCAGCAATGAGGAAAAATGAAAGCTTGGGCTGGAATGAAGTGCCAAGAAGGAAGCAGTTGGGGCAGTTGTTCTATGGAGGTATTTTGGGGTTACACCCATTTTTATCTTTGTGTGACTACAGTTCCCTGATCTGCTACAATCCCATCCTTCATTAAGCAAACAGATAAGCAAGCAAATAAACAGAAATTAAGATGTGCCAGCAAGTGTGTTACATGTCAAGAACTGTGAAGGATTTTATATTGCAACAACCTAATAAATTGACAGTTTCATAGATGCTGGCAGAAGTTATGTGACTCTTGGGTTAGTGACGACAGACTTTAATTTCTCACACTTAAGCTGGCAACATGAGTTAAATGTTCATTTTTGCTCTTGTCCCACACGTCCCAGGGTGCTTTGGAATGGCCTGGGTAGACATTGTGTGCACAGGAGTCCACTTTCCAGTTGGGAATCCTGAACCCGGGACCCCAGTTTTCAAGGGGCTGCTAGCAAACTGCCCAAGCTTTGCCCTGGGCACACCTTGTCTTCATTGTCCTGAACAATAGACAGAGCCTCCATCTAGCCTTGAGGAGACACGACCTATCACTATCAAGGCTGATTGCTATATATCCAAGGCATCCTTGGATATATCATCTGGGGGTGGGGGTGGTGGGGGGGGGAGTACTAATGGGAGGCATGTGGAAATGTAGAGATGTAATATAATGTTGACCTTTGGAATTGGATTGATGTGTGTACTTGGCAGAATCATTTTTTGAAAAATTTCCAATTCAGTTTTAAATAGCACTGTCCTACTATAAATTGGCTGCAAACTGAGTGCTTTAAATTTCCTGGTGATAGAGAGGGTATGGTGGTGGGAGGCATTGTGGACTCTATCCCAAATGTCCTGTTTTAAGTCAGTCCGGAACATAAGAAGTCATTCTTATGACTATCCTGAGGAGTCGGGGTCCATGTGCTCGTAACAGCTGCCTCCTAGACATCCTCTTCCACCAGGCTAACATATGTTAAAATCATTACAAACCAACATAGAGTACAGAAAGAAGCAGGAAAATTTTTTGAATTATAAAATATTTTAAAAGTTTTACTCTTAAATCCAGTATTTTGAAATGCTCAGTTATCTGCTTTAACAGGAATAGGTATAAGTCTTTTGTGCTTGAGATGGACTATTCAGCACACTTGACTAAAACAACACAAGTGAAGAAGCAAAGTGAAGCCATCTAGTGAAGGATTTTACCTTGCAACAACACCGGCTGGCTCAGAGGAAGGCAGGACACTGGAGTGAGCACAAGACAAAGCAGCAGACTGCTTCTAATAGCCTCCCCAAGAATTGCCTGCTTGTTGGCCCCAACTGCTGCTGGGGAAGTTGGGGGGCCCCACCATTCCTCCAGGAGCAATGCTGCTTTTTTGCATGCCACAACCACCTCAAATTTGTAGACTGATCTGAGTGACTTGAGATTCGTCACTCCTTAGCTCTGTAAGTTCCATACAGGACCTTTGGGCTCCTGCATGTAGTCACGGGCCCGTGCTGTGAGAAGCTCCCGGACCTTCCCTTACTTCAGGTTCTGTGGGAGAGGCAGAGGCTTTCCTGTACACCATCTAGAATCTTCCCTCCCTGAGGAAGGACAAGCTGCTGAAGCAATGAATGCCCATTATATGAAAACAATTCCTCAAATTCTTACTTTTATATGTCTTAGATATTTACCCAGAATGATTATTTAAACTACCATTTGCATTTCTTGTAAATAAAAGGGAAGAAAACCTAGCCCATAATCCTCTTGAATAACAAATCCCAAATGTAAATTTCTTTTTGTGGTAATTATATTAATAAGAGGTTATTTTTTAATTGCTTTGTTTTATCTACAAAGCAGAATATTTTTTACTTGATACCCTCACTATGCTAGTGGCAGTTACCTTAGATATAAATGAATTATGTTTTGCATATAATTTTATGGACACAAAAAGGAATATAAGAATTTAGTAACTCAAATATAGTTATTTCTTAGATCAAAATTACCAACTCTATTTGTGGTACTAATGTGGTCACCACACTTGTCCTAAAGTATATGATTTTCTAAAAGCATATATCCTTGAGAAAAAGCTCAAAGGATTAGCACATCAAAGACAAACTAAAATCATTCAGCCATTCAGGGCTAAAAATGCTTGGCTCAAGCTGTCAAGTCTTTATTTAGGTGTGGGACTTTATGTAATATAAATTCTCTTGAATGGTGTTTTGATTTTTACAAAAAAATGAAAGGACAAAGCAAAAAAAAATCAATAGGAAGTAATTATAGGGTTCTTTCAGTGCAATACAATGCATGACTCCATTTTACACCCTATTTTCTGGGAAAGATAATTTTTCTATAAAAACCCTTTGGAACGTTCACTCCTTTCCCTTAATACATGGGACTTCTAGAATGTGATTCTGGCTGCTCTTACAGTAACTAGCCTTTGGTCCCCATAGCCACATGAATATTTCAAAGACATTTCAAACTCAACCTGCCCAAAACTGAAAGCCCATCCCACCCCGAATTAATGCTTTATTTCTTTCCTAATTAGTGCTGCCACCATATTCTGCCAACTGGAAATCTAATAATTACCTTTATGTATGCCTCTATCCTGTTACCCACAGCAAGACTAACATCCTTATGCATTCACTCAGCTGGCATCAATTGTACTATAATCCTTGCTGTCACAGAAATCACAGATTGAGACAACATCCATGTTCTTGTGTGAAGCTCTCGGTCAGAGTGTCTGCAGGGATTTGGTCACTGAAGTAGTTATACAGTCTGTATTCTGGTGGCTTTTCATAAGAGGCGTAAAACTGAACCATGTATAAACATTATACTAAACAGGAAACTTCAGTCCCTTAAATAGAATACCAGGGATGTCCTGTGAGAGTTCAGAAGAGGTGGAGGGTATTTCCACTACCGGGGACAGAGGGCTTATTTGGGAGGCAGCTTCTAAATCTGCACTGTACGAGCTAAGAAGGACTTAATCGTGTGCAAATGAGGTTACCACAATGTGAACATTATTGCTGAGCAAAATCATGAAAGCAATGAGGTGTGTACATAAAAAGACAAGCATTTAGGGCCCTCCCTGGTGGCGCAGGGGGTTAAAGCACAGCACTAAGAAGCTAAAGCCACTTCAGCATGAGTTCGATTTCCGCCCACCCCAGAGGTGACCCACATCGTGCAGCAGGCCTTTCCTGACCTGCCCGCTGCTCCCCTCAGCAGTGTACTTCGTCAGTCAGCTTGTTCTGCTCCCCACTCTGTCTTTGGTGAATCCTCTTACCACCCCTGCACTTCTGGCCTGTACCCCAGTTCTGTGTGCATAAATAAATAAATCTTAAAAAAAAAAAAAGGCAAGCATTTAATAAAAGTTGTAATGAGTAAACCCAGAAATAGGATTGGGGAATGACAGAGAGAATAGACCATAGGGAGCACTAGACGTGGGACTAAAGAGGTTTA